TTTGTAAGAAGAATGGTGAGACTTGCTATCACTTATTGGTTTCTTGCCCATTTGTTTCAGAAATCTGGTGTTGGTTTTTCTCTCTTTTTGGTGGCAGGTGGACCCCTCCCCCAAATGTTCAAAGCCTATTTCATTCTACTACTGTTAGGGGGCTGAAGAAGAGAGAGAAAATTCTGTGGAGGTGTGTAAGAGCAGCTGTATGTTGGACAGTCTGGGAGGAAAAGAATCAATGAACCTTTCATGGGAAAGAAAGAAATAAGGGTGTAATCATTGAACTGATTTTTATAAGGGTGATCCATTGGGTTTAAACTTTGCAAAGTTTTGAAAATTATTCAGAAGGAGACATCATCAGGAAGTGGCTTGGTCAGCTCCAAGAAAGAATGTATCCCACCCAGTTTGGTCCCCTCCAGTTTCAGGTTTCACTAAACTAAACTTTGATGGTAGTAGTGAAGGAAATCCAGGTCTGTCGGGTATAGGGGGAGCCTTCAAAGATGATGAAGGTTGAATTATTGCATTGTATTCTGGTTCTATTGGATGGGGGGACTCTCTTAGAGCTGAAATATTGGCCGTCTTGGAAGGGTTAAAAAGAGCGCAAGAGTTAAATATCAGAAAATTGATAGTGGAAGGTGACTCTAAGTTGGCTATAAATTGGTTGATGAAGGATACTTCTAGTCTGTGGAAGTTTTTGAATGAAGAAAAGAAAGTTAGATATCTCACCCAAAATATGGAAGTAAGTTTCAATGGATAAAGAGGTGTGCCAACTCCTTGGTAGATTCATTGGCCAAACAAAGGGGTAAGAAGAGTTAATTTCTTCTGGGCAACATTGTAATCTGAATTGCTTTCTTGGGAGGGTTAAGAATTTTTACCCCTCCTTTTGTACCTTTTCTATTATTATCTTTTAATAAAAGTCTCTGTTATTTATCAAAAAAAAAAAGAGATTGTGGGTTTTACATGCTTGAAAATGCTTTATATTTTTGATTTTATTTTTAAATTTTCATTTGAATACGCTTTACATGTTATGCTCATGTATTATAATTTTAGATAATAGGTTTTTTTAAAACATTTATTTTAAAATTTAAGTTTATATTTTTTATTAACATTATGTTTATCATTTTTTGATTTTTTTGTATATTTTAAAAATTTTTGCGTTTTTTTTTTGAATTTTCTGACTTATTTTGTAATTTTGCACCTTGCTTAGAAAGGCGTGCACCTCGCCTTGCGCCTTGCGTCTCAGGCGCAAATTGGCCCTTGTGCTTTTAAAATACTGAGTTTAGTACAACTGTTGGAGATTTCCAACACACCATAGTCACTTGAGTTTACACCCAAAATAAATTAGGTCTATCGACTCCTTGTTTAGCTAGAATATCTGCCACCTCATTTGCAGTTCTTCTCACCCAGCTGACACTAGAATTTATTTGCTTTGCTATGACATCAATTTCCATAGAAGTTTGTTGATACTTCCAAGCTGCTGATTTGACTTGCTTTGTCCAACGAATAACTAGTTGTGAATCTCCGTCAACTTCAGCTGTAGTGCTAGTCACATTCCTTGTGTGAGTGCCATTATTTCAGCCTTGACTGAGTCCCCTAAGCCAATTGGATCTGAAAACATCACTACCACCACTGCTTGGTGTTTTCTAATAACTCCCTCAATGCCTGCTCTTCCCGGATTGCCTATAGAGCTGCCATCAAAGTTCAGCTTCAACTTATTTACAGCCAGGGGTTTCCTGTCCATTCTCACTTCTTCAATGCGTCTAACTTGTGCTACTCCAGACCAAGTTCTAACAATGTTATTGACTGAAAAGTCTCTGAATAACTCCAATGTGCAGCTCTAACTAAGATGGCTTCAGTTAGTTCCTCCTTAGACGGTTAGACTTGTTCTTTTCATTCACTAGTTTATTGTTTCTTTCTTCCCATATCATCCAATCATTGCTACTCTTACTGCCTTCCACATGATCTTTCCTCTCTTTTCCTTGAGCCTCAGGAAGTTGGGATTGAATATACTTTTTTTTTTGATCAATAATTGGGATTGAATATACTTACCACTTCTTGTGGGGGGACCCATCTACAACCAAAGAGAGAACAGAAAAAATCCCAAACACAAAATACGAAAGGACAGGAGATTAAATTCCCTTTACTGGAAGATTCACCCCCAAGAATCAGAGTGAACTAAAAGGTTAAAGAAAGAGGCACAAGAGAGAAAACCACCAGAGGATGGAGTCCAAACCCTAACATCAAGAGTATTTTGGTCCACAAGTACAGTTTCCAGTTTTGACATCAAAAGAATGAGGGAATCACATTCATTAATATTTGTTTATTGCATGGATTCAATGTGTTGTAATGTTTGTTTGCTGGATTCAATGTGCTATTGACTTGTTATTATGAACATTTATGGTTTTAAATATTCGACTGCTTTGCTGAATGGAATTAATAATACACTATTGAAATTTATGTTTTGATTTAATAAAACCTTTACTTATCAAAAAGATATTGAAATTTATGATTAAAAGTGATATTGCCTTGTTAAATTTATGATGTAATGCGTCTATATGCAAAGCTTATCATTATTAGCTTTCTTTTACTAATTTTCAATTCAAAAATAACAAACTAAATATATAGCACATATTAACATGGATTATTTCCAATAAATTGTGGATCTTATTTGTCAAAGAAACAACCAACCTATTGGTTCCTAGACGCCTGCCTAAGCACAGGTGACAAGGTGGAACCCTTCTGCTCTGTTTCTTATTGCTGCCTTGACAACTATTTCGTGGCCTCTGCTTTGTCATGGTGTTGTGATTGTGATAACATCTTAATGGTTTTATAAGTTGTTGTGGTTTTTTAATTTCTGCTTTGTGGTTTTAATTTACTGTAATTCATGTTCTTGTTGAACATATTTTAGCATGTTCATTATCTTTTCAGGTAATGTTTGCAGAGCCCATTGTTATTACTGGCTGTGAGTTCCTTGAACAGAATGCATCGTCAACCTCTTCAGCCATAACACTTGTTGGGTATGTCTTGTGGTCATAGTACCTGGTTCGTGATGATTTATTTCATTTTCAATTATTTTGTTTGCAATAGCCTTATAGTCTCTGGTTTTCAATCGTCTTTTCATTTTGAAGAATAAATAGAAACCGAATATTATTTTTTTAGTAAATTTGAAGATTGTATTTGGGCTGTTAGCAAATTGCCTGTTTTTTTTTTCAGCCTCTTTTCTTTTTATTTAAATTATATTCATATCTTATCATAAAATGTCTGGTTTATATTCTATGGTAATTGGTAAATTGGTAATATTGTTAGTATATTCTGACCATTGTGATGGTTGCAAGTGATTTCCTTTTTCCTTTGCAACATTGCTCTAAAAAGCACCTCCAGGCAAGGTGCTAAGGAAAATTTTTGAAGCATACAAAAGAGGCACTGACATGCTTGAGGTGTATGCCTCTAGTATAGAGGTGCTTATAAAGGCATACATCTCTGTTGCACTTTAGTAGGCATATGCTTTATATGCTCTTACCTTGTAAGCTAGTTTTTGATAACAAAATGTTATAAATATTATAAATAGTACTAGTTGCTTAATTTTACCATGTTCGCCATTACAAATTAACGTAATACAGAGGAGGTCCAAACTTGTTTATTATAGTACTTACAATACAGTATTATAAATAGAAGTGGGGGCTCTATTTCTTTGATTGTTTGAATTACTTTGCATTCATTTGAATATGAGATGACACCAGTTGACACAGATACAGGAGTTGGCACATGCCCTGTATACGCCAGTAGACACAGATACAGGAGTTGACACTAAGAGTCTAACTTGGCAAGATGAGAACACATGGACTCATATACACGTTTATAAAAAAAGTATATACTATTAAAGTAGTTCATATTTTTGAAATCTAACATTATGTACTTAGTAAAAAAGGGATCTAAAATGTTGCCTTTGTTACAAGTAACATTTGATACAAATATTTCATTCATCTTGTATATTAGCTGTTCATTTATGTCAAATAATCTAGGAGATGAAAAGGAAATGTTATGTAAAAGTACTTGGGTTAACAGACATCAATTATTCTGCTTCTGGGCAAAAATGTAAATCTTGGCATTTGGGCTTGGTTGAAATTTTCCAACATTGTACTAAACTTTTATGGAGCAATTCTCTTGATTCAATGCTGGACTACTCAAATAACAAGTGCAACTTGATTCAATGTTGCTAAAGAGAAGGGCTGGTCTGCTCTAACCATTAGAGGAGACTCTGCAAACACAATAAGATTGCTAGGGGAGAAGGTGGGAGGCCCTTGGAGACCAGCTCATTACTTGGCTGAGGCCAGAGATATTCTGAACACCATGACTGTAAATTTAATCTGGATCTCCAGAGAATTAAATACTGCAGCTGATGGTTTAGCTAAATTGGGTACCTTTAGGGAAATAATGTACAGTGAAAGAAATCGGCCCCTGTAATTTCCTCTTGTTGGTTCAGCTGTAGCATGTACATCTCCTCATGTGCCTGTCTTCTTTTTTAATATAATCAGGTAACTTTTTCCAAATAAAAACATGAGACATCCTTTGGGTTTTGAATGAGTAGTTTTTGGGTTTCTGACCTGATGTTGTCCTGTCTTTATATATTACTGGTTTGAATAGTTTGCTCATATTCTGGCAAATCTATGGTTGCTTGGTCTCACTTCGGTTTTTGTACCTACAGGGCCACTTCACCTCCATCATTTGCTTTGGAGGTTTTTGTTCAATGTGAAGGGGAAACCAGGTTTAGGCGTCTCTGCCAGCCTTTTCTATATTCTCCTTCTTCATCAAATGTTCTTGAAGTGGAGGTACTAAGATAAATTCTTGTTTGCCCTTCGTATTATTGTTTCCATTCTCTTATTAGTTGTGTTTTGTATTAAATGCCTTATACAATTTTCTACCCTCTGTTGATAGCCTTAAATCTCCTTGTTTTCTATTCTTTTCTATCAGTTTGACAGGTTGCCTTACTCCAATTACATGTAAAGTTTTTGAGTGTCCAAAAGTGTCTGATAGATCAAACTCTGGAATTCATGTGACAAGAGCATGGCCTCGAGTGCATGTTAAATTGCATTAATAATACAAGAATTTAGAAGTAAGAAATTTAAGGAAAAATATAGAAGTTCAGAGTGTTGCAGTGTTGTCAAGGACTGTTTAGTGCTAACTTGGTGGTCCAGCTGGTTGTAGTACTGCTGAACCATTTAACCTAGTCAGCATGCCATGGGATTGGCTTTAATTTTCTTTTTTTTTTGCATTTTTAGTCATTTACATCATTAACAATAATTCTCATTTATCACACTTATTTTTGTTTAATATGAAGAATATATAATATTATACAAATATGTGATTTTCCCATTGTTATGCATATTTATTTATTTTTTTCATGTCTTTGTAATTTGATTTATGATATCTTGGTATGACTTATTTGACCTGAATGGTTGAACCAATGACATGTCACCCGGAGGGAAAGGCAATTCCATTTTCGGATATTTTCTTTTAAAACATTGATGCAGATTACTATTAATGGTAAGAAAATGGGATACAACTTTTATATTTGCATATGGTCCATGGATCTATAGGATATATGTTGTTCCAGTCTGGATAAGGTCCATGGAAGCAAACACACATCCAATTCATTTTGGATTCAGTCATTTTATCAATACAAACTCACTAAATATAGATACTGTTCAGGGTAGATTTCAGGTCAACCCACTTCATTCAATTCCCTGTATTTGGTAATTAATGGAGCAGTTGATAAAGAGAAGATTAAGGAGAGATTTAATAGATAGTATGACTTGGGAGATTAAAAATTGGAAACATTTTAATGGATACTCCATATTTCACTTTCCAATGTAATTGTGTGATAGGGTCTTGAGACACAATGGTGAGGAGAGAAAAACTGCTGACACAGAACTGGTCCTTTTTCTATATATAATATAGATTTGGCTTTTTGACTGATTTCTTAGTCATGATATTAAGGTTTTAGTTCCAAGGATGGTAATTTGGATTGACAAGAAAGGGTAAAATGGTAACTTCAAAATGGATATTCTAGTATTTTTTTAATGAGTACATGGAATTTTCTAGTCTTCTTAAACATGGGTAATGTAAGTAATTTTAGTTTCTAGTAGTTATTTCCTTAAATGAAGTTTGTTGAGTCAAAGGTGAAGCTTAGAAAGTTGTTTTTTAAATCCCTGTATCTACTGATAAAAAAGTCCTGTATCAATTAATATCTTGGAAAGTGTAATCAATATTTAAGTTCAGCAATGAATTTGTGGTGTTTCCTGTGTAGTGTTTAACAACCAAAGAATGTATTAGACCTGGGTAAGTTTAGGCTTACTGTAATCCTAGATTTTGAATAGAGAGTGCAGATATATGGGTCTAGGAAGCCATTTGTAGTGGATCTCAAACATAACATTTCTTAATTTATGAAAACTCATGCTTTCTTTTGTTTGTCCAAACATAATTGACTTTTCCTCAACTGTTCTACTTGCCTCTTTCTGTTCATTCTTGTACGATTTGGTTTACCATCTTGGCTCATAGATCTTTGATTTGTGTGGTTACTCCCAAGGTTATCTTTTCTGTACCAATTAAAGAAATATGGAATGTTTCAGCTTTGTTCAAGAAAATATTTATTATTGTCTTTTAACTTTGATGGATTTTGATATTGGAATATCAAGTTTCCATAAAATCTCCACAAAGAATGATTTCTTCTGGGGAATAGTAGTGGGGTTGGTCCAACTCTTGTGATTTTGTCTATCTGTTGTTGTATCTTAACTTCATGGCATTTTAAGAGCAATACTCTAATTGGATGCAGGCTGTAGTGACAAACCATTTGGTTGTACGGGGCAGTTACCGCAGCCTTACCTTGGTCATATATGGCAACACAGCAGAGGATCTGGGACAGTTCAATATAGAATTTGATTTGGATAGTTCTTTAGCTAACCAGGTTTGTTTGCCATCTGAAGGAAAGCTTGAGGACCTTCCTCCTGCATTGCATTCAAACAAGCTATCATTTGAGGAGACGATATTCTCCCTAAAATCATTATCTTTGCCAGTTGCCGAGTTAGACCTTTCTATCGAGATGAAACAGTTCATTCAACTTGTTCTTAAGATATTTGAATTGTCAGATTCTGGGGATGGTATAAATAAAGTTGTAAATACTGTTGTATCATCAGTTTCTTCTTATGCCAGTAGTAGGAATGGTGCTGCAGTTTGTTGGAGTCAATACAAGAAAAGCAGCTCCGTACATCGCAAGGAAGAATCACACCGTGTTCTTATTGATGCTAAAAGTGAGCTCCTCGAGGTTTATAAATTGCTTCAACATGAATCAGGGAATTTATCTGTTGAGGCATCTGGAGAGGGACTTGTTCTTGATTTTGCTGCTGATTTGGCAACTTCAGAACTGTTAAGTGAGGTGTTCAACAAACATTTGTGCATGAAAATGAAGTATGCAACTTTTGGGTTTCCAGTGCTTTCTCAGGTGATTTGTATTCTAGCTGGTAAAAAGCAAAATGTAAAGAGAAATCAGTTGTCATGTATAATAGTTTGTGTTGTATTTCTGACCTCTGATCTTGTTTTGCAGAAAAAGAACATGATTGTACTACTGGCTGTAGTTTTTCTCTTGTGCTCCACTAGGGAGAGTTGCTTTCACTTTGTGAATGGTGGAGGAATGGAGCAGCTTGTACATATTTTCTTCCATGAGATGCCGAAATCTACAGCTCTTCAATTGATGCTGCTTGGAGTTATTGAGCAAGCTACTCGACATGCCATTGGGTGTGAAGGCTTTTTGGGTTGGTGGCCTCGTGAGGATGAGAATGTGCCAACTGGTAGTAGTGAAGGCTATAATCAAATATTGAAGTTGTTACTCCAGAAGCAGAGGCATGATGTTGCTTCTCTTGCAACTTATATACTTCACCGCTTGCATTCATATGAAATTGTGTCCAGATATGAGGTACATTCTTATAAGATATAGGGGAAGCTGCACTTATATTTTTAGCTTCTGTAGAAGGGGGAATTCAGTCTCATTGTTTTTTCTGGCAGGCTGCAATACTTAATGTACTGGGTGGTCTAACTGCTGTTGGTAGGGTTTCTGAAATTACTTTGGACAAGCTTATCAGTGCCAAATCTCAGCTTAAAAAACTCTTGGTTAGTTGAAAGCATCCATCATTTAGGTGCTCTTTAACGAATGTAGTTGTTATTGTGTCAATTGCATGGCTTATTAATTTGTATATGTCAATGAGTATGATGCAGAAGTTGTTAAATTCATGGGGGCCAATTGAAGATCCTTCACCAATGGCTAGTATTAGCAGATCATTGATTCTTGGCCAAGCAGAAGGATTGTTATCTTACAAAGCAACAATTGGCTTCATTGCATCGTCTAAATGCTGCTTTTCAAATTGGGATATTGATCCACACTTACTATCACTGCTGAAGGTATATGTTCCTTTTAGCTATGCATCATTCTTGGTAATTTACAACTCTGTTTTCTTCAGCATATGTTTGCTATCCAAGCTTGTTGTATTTAAACAAGTAACATTTAAAGGAATATTTTTTATTTTCTAGTTAGTTATAGAACTTTACTAGAAGAGACCTGTTTGATGCACAGACTGGTGTTGAAAAAGATGCTCATGTTATATTCAGTTTCTTAACTGAATTGGTTTTGGGCGAGCTTAAATAGACCCATATTTATTTATTTTTATTTTTAAAAATTCAAAAAAGCACAAAATTCTAAAAGGGTTGGGAAGTAATATGAGGTGTCTGATGTGGACAACTGCATTTTTGAATATAGTATAGATGATAGTGTGATCAAATTGTTGACAAGTTGACCAAACTGAGGGCCATAATGCCTACTACATCTTCAACAATTTAGTTGATAGTTGATACTCTTCTTCTACACATCTTCTTTTCTAAGTTTTCTATGACTGGGTTCCAAAATCTATTCTCCTTAAGGTTTGCACCTGGGGGAAGACCTAAATGGGTTAAAGGCCAAGAGGTGGTAGAACACTCTATACAGGCCGCCACAAACACAACAACCCTCTCCTCCAAATTGATTCCTGCAATGCAGCTCTTTCCAAAGTTGATTTTCAGATTCGGAATCAATTCAAACTTTTTTATCAACTCCTTTTAACTTACTTGCCTATGTGGTATCCCCCCCCCTCCCAAACATAAAAGAAATAGAGAAATGGCATAGTAGAGAACTAATTCTTAATTGAATTTATTCGTATCGCCTGAATCATAAAGATTCAGTGATCAAATCTTAGGATTTGAAGGGACTGAATGTATCATGAATTCTGTGGGTTTTGATCCAAAGGAACTTTAGGAGCCATTACTTGGTGTAGTGGTAAAATCTCGGGTGGTAAACATGAGAACATTGGTTCAAGTATGAGAGCAGCCACTTTGTGCAAAAAATGCCAAAGGTTAGGATTGTATCCAGTCTACTCCTCCCATGACCCCAGATAGCTGGGATCAACATTGGGTAATGGCCTTTTATTTTATCTTTGATGTTAGTTTTGATTTGACCACTACTGAATTTACTGTTATTTCTGGTGTTTTTCCATTCAGAGACATATGCACACACACACACACACTCATACTTGTGTTGTGTATACATTTTTTACCTCAAAAGTTGTGTGAAAACAGGAAAGGGGTTTTCTTCCTTTATCGGCTGCTTTGTTGTCTTCTACTATTTTGCGTTCAGAGAAAGGACATATTATGGATGCCTTTGTGAAAATCACATCATTGTTTGAGCGTATAATTCTTTCTCTTCTTTTTTGTCGTTCAGGTATTGTTAACCTCTGCTCAGTATTATGATTTTTTTTTTTTAACGTTGACTTGTCTTCATGATAATCATTCTACTCTTTCTTTCTTTTCAGGCCTGATTTTCCTACTGCTTCAACCTGAAGTTGCTGCTGCTGTAACTCTTTCTCTTCAGGGTGCTGAAGATGTGAATAAGGAAGATTGTGTTCCTTTACGGTATGCATCAGTTTTGATATCCAAGGGATTCTTGTGTCGCCCACAGGTGGTTGGAATGATTACTGAACTGCACATGCGAGTGGTTAGTTCTGTGACTTCTGTCATCTTGTTTCTGAAGATTGTCATTTTCTTCTTTTAATTTATATATTCCTGACTATGTTGATAATAAATATCTGAAGTCTTCTCATTCTTGGATCCAGGTGAATGCAATAGACCGCTTGCTTTCATTGTCTCCTTGCTCTGAAGAATTTCTGTGGGTTCTGTGGGAGTTATGTGGTCTGTCCAGGTGGAACTATCATTTCAGTTATTTTCTTATGTATTTGAGTTTTTATGTTGTGTGAATTATTTTCACAAACTTTGGTAACATGATTGCCAGGTCTGATTGTGGACGCCAGGCTTTGTTGGCTCTAGGACAGTTTCCAGAGGTACTCCCATTGTTGCAGCCACAGGGACTGCACATAACTGTTTTACCAAACAGCTATCATTAACATTCAAGAACCTTGAAGTTTCTTTCAAGAAACAATTGAACAATGTTCTGAAAATCGTAGTTCTATTGTAAATTGTAGACAAAGTTGAATTGAAGAGAATTATGAATCCCATTGTAAATTGAAAACTTATTTCTTTTTTATACTTGTCAAAAAATTAAAAAGGTTTTAATAAAAATCTAAATCTATATAGGAAAATGATTTTACCCTACTTTTTTATAATTAACAGAACATTTTTTTTGATGTTTTTTAAACTGGATATTGTATTAGATATAAATAGATTATATAGAACCAGTTAGTGGGGAAACCCCACCTAATGCCATACAAGAACCAATCTTAACTATACCTAAATTACAGCTTTTCCACCTTAGTTCAGGAATGCTTATGTTTTAGCCCTGAACAAACTATCCACCCACCTCTTGTATAGCAAACTTATCAGCCAATACATTAGCTGATCTTTGTACCCATTGTCTGAGATAACCATATCTCTCCAATCAGCTGATCTCCTTAATTTCTTTCTACTGCCACTTTCCCCTGCTTAAATCAGCCAACGAACTAATTACCACCTTCATCTCCAACTGCCTGTACTTCAGTTCTAACCGAGTTCCCGTTACCAATAAGACATGAGAAAACTGCCACCAATGAGCCATTTCCATCTCTAAAAACCCCTCACTCCTGATTGACTAGGATTACCAAGGGTACACCCATCAAAATTTAATTTCAAGTTTTCCCCTTGTGGTGGTGCCCATTGTACTCCTTTTGAGATCATATAACATCTTTATGTTCTAAATCCCAATGATGTTTCTAGACTTTTAATCTGCTTTTGTTTCATTTAACCATCCAGTACTTCCTCTTTCACAATTTACTAGTTATGTTTTCTCTTGTTTTATTGATTATTTAATCTCTCTTCTCTGTCCAGTCTATTTTTGCTTGGTAAACCTAAGCTAAGTGTCAAACTAACAAGTTGAGAGTTTGCGGCTTCAATCTGGTTTGATTGGACCCATTACATCCATTTCAATTAGTTGCTGTTTGGGTGGGTTTGACATCAATCCTGTTACAATTGGGACTCAAAATACAGACTCAAACCTTGTGTATTGGGGTCTGATTGGTTGATCTGTTGGATTGACTGGACAATCGACGGTTATACTTTTAACTAACCTCAACAATCCCTTTTATAAAGCTTCCTTAGTGATTTTCTTTGATCTATGTTCATGAAATCTATAAGAACTGCTATTAATTAAATTAAGCATTTGACTATTTGACCTTTCTTGACTCTTTGGCCCATGGGTTTCCATGCTTTAGTAGACATTTTATTCGGTACATTTCTGGCTTTCATAGAATGAGATTGCAGAACATCAAACTCCTTTTATTTCAGGCTTTTCTGGGTCATAATCTACATTAACAATTAATATCTTATTGAAGGCAACTTGATCATTTGTAGAATGATAATGCTTTAGTCTTCAGATCATCTAAGACTTGGGTTGATACATTTGGGTTGCCAAACTGGGAGGGTGGCATATTGAGGATGACACTAGAATTGTGTTTTACAGGTAGTTTCTCTGTTGCTTGAAGCACTGCACTCAGTGAAAGAATTGGAGCCAGTGACCCCAACTAGTGGTAGGCCTAACTATTCTTTCTTCTACCCATTAAATATTTGTACTTTCTGCTTGTTCAGCTGTGCATGATGATTGATACTCATTTACTTGAAATCCTGGACAGGTTCCTCACCACTTAATCTTGCTATCTTTCACTCAGCAGCTGAGCTATTTGAGGTCATTGTTACTGATTCAACTTCCTCTTCTCTCTGTTCCTGGATTGAACATGCTGTGGAGCTTCATAAGGCTCTGCATTCATCTTCCCCAGGGTCCAACAGGAAGGATGCTCCAACAAGGCTGTTGGAATGGATTGATGCTGGTGTTGTTTATCAGAAAAATGGGGCTATTGGTCTTCTACGATATGCTGCTGTTTTAGCTTCTGGAGGAGATGCACACATAACTTCAACAAGTGTCCTAGTCTCAGATTCTATGGATGTCGAAAATGTTGTTGGAGATACCAGTGGTTCTGACATTCAGATTATAGAGAATATGCTTGGGAAACTTATTTCTGATAAGAGCTTTGAAGGAGTTAGTCTTCGTGACAGTTCTGTAGCACAGCTGACAACTGCATTTAGAATTTTAGCATTCATTTCAGAAAATCCGGTATAAATTATGTTCTTTACCACTGTGTGATTTTAATATATTAGTGCACATTCAGGGCTAAATATTGTTTCTATTGGTGAAGGCTGTTGCTAGTGCTCTTTATGAAGAAGGTGCAGTTACTCTAATATATGTCATTCTTGTGAACTGTAAGTTCATGCTTGAGAGGTCATCCAACACTTATGGTAAGTTGGATAGCACTCATTGATTTCTCATGTGGTTTTACTATACATTGGCAGTATATCAAATGGCATGGTTTTCCTTGTAATTGAAGGCAGTGAACTGGTTCTGTAAGTCTTTCATGATGAATGTATGTTTTTTTTTGAACTATTTTCAAGATATAATTTTGTATAAACTATTCACTTACAGTTACAGTTATATGTGCCTATTTATTTTCTTTTCTTTTTTTTTGCTCCAAGGGAATGAGTATCCCATCCCCCAAACCCATAAACCCCCCAACCCAGGTGCAGGCGGGATTCAATCCCAAGTCTCTGCTACAACCAGCAGGAGACCTAATAGTTATATGTGCCTATTTATTTTCTTGAGATTTGAGTAATATAATCTTAAAATTTTATAGTCCTTTACTATTCTATCTAGTTGAAACTCTGCCAAATTGGGATTTAAGAAAACAAATAAGAAAGCTCATTTCATTGATAAAAAAAAGGAAAAGAAATCTCCTTGGAATGCTAGTTAAGCTTTATCTGTTACTGATGAAAAAACAAAAATGAAAGCTGTAGAGCTATGGGAGCAGAAACAACTTATCTATTGTAGAGATTTTATGGAGTCCTGTTATTGTCATGAATGTGCAATTGGTACCGCTAACCACCTTGATTTGCATTGAGATAGATAGAGTAGTTTGGGGGCTCTCCTCTTGAATTGGAGACTGGCAGATATATCTCAGTGTGACCTATTTTGTTAACTTGGTTTGATAATCCATAACAAGGGAGAGATTCAGAAGGGTGTTGCCTATAGAATTACAGTAAAGAATGCAACTCATGCCAAAAGGAGAATCTGATAGAACTGTTATAAGGCCAGCAATACTGTATGGAGCAGATGTTGGACAACCAAGAACTAATATATCCAAAAAATGAGTAGTAGAAATACAGTTGTTGAGATGGATGAGCAGGAAAGCTAGAAAGGATTAGATCAGAAATGGACATATCTGCAGGAACTTAGAAGTAGCCCCAAATCGAATAGTTGATAGAATGAGTGAAAGACTAAAAAGGATTGGATCAGAAATGGACATATCTATAGGAACTTGGAAGTAGCTTCAATGCAATAGGTGATAGAATAAGTGAAAGTAGACTAAGGTAGTATGCAAAGAGGATCATCTACAGAACTAGTGAGAAGAAGTGATCTATTGCAAGTTGAAGGGACTGGAAGAGCTTAGGGCAGGCCAAAGGGCATAGATTTTAAGTAGTGAGAAATTATTTAAGAGTCCATAATTTAACAATCGTCATGGAAGATGGAGTGAGCTAAAATATCTAAGAGCGAATAAATCAGAGATCTGGATCTCCTGAAAGCAAAAACTGTGTGTATGACATCCAGCTGCATATCGGGAATATCTCCTTTACCCTCCAAAAAAAATCATGGGGAGATATTCCCAATGTGTGGTTGGTTGCTTGTACTTTCAGGGTGCGTGCAGAAGATCCTGTCACACAAATCGGTAGGAGACAGAAATTGAGATTTGGGTGAACTAAAGGAGATGGCAACATAAATCTTTTTTTTTTTTGGATCAATCTGGCAACGTAAATCTTTTGTTTTCTAGCTACCAGTAGATAAAGGAAAATTTCATTTTGAGGCTTATAAACAATGGGGTTTAGACAAGGGATTCTTGAGATTGAAGACATTTTAGTTTCCTATTTCTTTAATTTTTATAACCCATCTTGGAGAAGATGACCCATCATTAATCACTGCAATAGAATATTGTCCTTAAAAATGGTGAATTTTGATTGAAAAAGGTTATTCATGGAGGAAGTGAGAACAATGGTTTTTGGGATGAGAAATCAAAAGTGCCAAGGCCAGATGGTTTTTAATGATATTTTTATCAAGAATGTTGGGACATTGTTAAGTGGTGATATCATGAATGTTTTCGGGGAATTCCATTGATTATGAAAAATTAACAAAGAAGTGTGAATATGATGTTCATTTCCCTTATCCTCAAAACATGGTTTCCACTTCTCCAACTTAGTTCAGACTGATTAGACATATCAATTTTTATAAAATAATCTTAAAAGTATTATCTTGTGGAAGACATTTTGAAATAGATTTTAGTAGCCAATAAAGTGATCGAGGAAGTAAAGCTAGCAGAAAAGGAAAGCTTCGTGTACAGACCATGATGGGTTTGGGAATAGCATGGATTGAAGGGATGATAAGTTGTGCAATTTCAACACATTTCTCCATCATTGTCTGTGTTTCTGCTAGAGGTTTATTTTGTGCTACTAGAGGGTTTGGAGCCTTGGACAAGGATATCCATTATCATCTGCTGTTTATTCTTGTGGTAGAAATTCTTGGCAGATTGTTGCAGAGATCTGACAAAAAAAGGAGATGTTTGGGGGTTTTAGAGTTGGGTGTGAAAAGCCACGTTACTTTTACGGTTTGCAGATGACACAATTATTTTGGTTAATTGAGGGGAGGGGAATATTTATGATGTTTGAGGAGTATTATGGCAGTTGCCAAGAAAGTTTGTGGCCCAAGGACAAATCTATCATAGTGAAAAAGGCTCCTTCACTCTCTGGTCTCTCCCTGATTTGAGACATCGATTGTTTTTTCCTTCAAGACACCCCATCCCAGATAAAGAGCTTTTTTCACATAGAAAAAACGACTGGTGTCTCGAATCAGGGAGAGACCAGAGAGTGAAGGACAATAATATAGCACTTCTTGGAAAGTAAATGTGGGCATTTTCAAAGAATACCCAATCACTTTGATATTCAGTGTTAGAAAAAAAAGGGTTTCACAACCTCCTCCTAGGGACAAAGCCTTTTATTGGGAACTAGGGAGATGCTTTAGAGAATAAAATTCAACCGGTACTTGTCACTTCATGTGTGCATCTTTTGCTTCAATGATGGTGGGAATGCAAACCATTTATTGTTTTCTCGTTCCGTTAACATCTAAGGTATAGCCTCATTTCTCCTTGCTATTTGGCTCCCACTGGACTGCATCATTTCTCCTTGCTACATTTTGAGATTCCAAGGAAGTATAATGTGGGATTAAGCAGGTGGTTCTACAATGCTGGTACGGTGTTTTGGGTATGAGGAAGGAGAGCGGTTCGGATCTGAGTTCTAGTGATTCCTTTGCATGCTTGGAGCTTAAGTATGTTCAGTGATTTAAAAGGCGTACCTAGGCACACTTGCAAGGCACATTTTAGGGTATGCACCTTGCCTAGGTCCTAGGCACAACCCTTTCAAAAGGCGCATGCCTGGTGTGCTTAGGCATGTGCCTGATGCGCCTTGTGCCTCAGCCCAGGTATGCACCTTTTAAAATTTTACTCTTTTTAAATTCTTCTTGAAAGGCAAGTAAAGTTATAAAATCGCTATTATTTATGTGAGAATTAAGAATTTAAGACCCTAACATGGACTTGTTTGGGCTTGCCTCGAGGGGCATGGTACAAAGGTGGCGTGTAGAATCAGGAATGCTATATGTTTTACATCACATTAACTATTTGAAGTAATGCAATTGAGGAAAAAGAAGAGATTGTGGGTTTTACATGCTTGAAAATGCTTTATATGTTTGATTTTATTTTTAAATTTTCATTTGAATACGCTTTACATGTTATGTTTATGTATTTTCATTTTAGATAATAGTTTTTTAAAACATTTAGTTTAAAAGTTTATATTTTTATTAATATTATGTTTAATATATATTTTTTATTTTTTTGCATTTTCTGACATTTTTTGATTTGTTAGCATTTTTTTTTTGTATTTTTGCACCTTGCTTCAAAAAAGGCGCATGCCTCACCTTGTGCGTCGGGCACAAATTGGCCCTTGCACTTCTTTTTGTGCCTTGTGCTTTTAAAATATTGGGTATGTTTATGGAGGTTGGGAACAGATGTGGAAAATTTATAAAACTTGATGATAGAAACATAACTTGGGTGATGGTGGATTTGGCGAGGATTTTGGTGGAGGTGAATGCATTGGAGGGTATACTTTCAATGATGAAACTTCTTATGCAGGCAAGTTGTATGAAGAAATTTCAATAGTTAGAGGGAAGATGGAAGTTGGGATAGTGAAGAGAGTTGAATTTGTTAAAGAAATTGGGGATATTTTGAGAGTGGGAACTGACAAGTCACTCTAGGTTTTAAGAGGAGTTTTGATTGGGGACCACCGACCACCTTACAAAGTTAAAGTCAAAGGGGTCAAGTTTTGGTAATCGATTGAGTCAGTTGGGGGTCTTAAGAGGACTCCAAAAAGAAATGAGAGGTTGGGGATTTTTAGTAGGGAAAGGGGTGTGGGCAAGGATAAATGGGGAAAGGAAGATGATTGGAGTTGGGTGATAACTAGATACGACAACACTGGTTAGAGGAAATGTGGTTTGAAGAATGATGAAAGTGTGATCTGAAGGGGACTAACAAAAGTAGGTTTGGATACAATCTGTCCAGGGAGCAAGTTTGCCTGATCCAGGTTAGGAGGTTTGATATTGATGTTGAAGTTATGTCTGTTGGATGTTTAGAGGGGAAAGGAGAGGGGGTTGAGGCTGTTTTGGAGAATAGGGTGGAGACAATGGAGGTGAGTAAAAAACCTTTATGAAGGTTGAGGAAGAGGGCCCGTTGTTGAAGGAGATGATGGTGTCGAACTTGACGGCAGCTGCTGTCTGTTGAATCCAAGATGGTGCTTCAAAAGTTGAGGCTGTTGCATCTGATAGCTGCAAGGATCTTCTCATTACCAAAGACACCGATGTGATGGTGGGCAACGGATGTGGACAAGGATGTTTCTGTTGCTACCCTAGTTGTCTTGAAGAAGCCTAGACTTTCAAGCAGAACTCATATTGTGCATTTCACCATTCTTTTTTTTTTTGTGATTAAGGAAGTCCTAATTGGGGCAGGTCCTACCAGCAAATACAAAAGAATTTATAAAAGAAAAGGTGTGGAATTCAAAGCTTCGAACCAAGAAGACCTTGCAGGGTGAACATTGAACCTTGAGAACTTGTAGGGACAAAGGATCAGTTGTTGGTCTTATTAGAAGGAAAGACAGAAACTCTTGTTGCTTCAGAGGTGAAGGAGAAGGAGGGTGGTTTTGAAGAAAAGGATAGAGTTGACAAGATATATATATATATATATATTTTTTTTTTCTTTCGTTTTTTTTACTGAAGGGGAAGGAGGAGTTGGAAAAGATTGTTGATAGGGATGTTGAGGTTGACAAGCTGTTAGGTTTATCATTTTTGGGTGGAGAAGGTTTTGGCTGAAGAGCATTTGTAGAATTTGAGAAGAGAAAGATGGAAATGAGGTGAAAGTAAACAGTAATTGGAGAAGGAGAGGCATGGAAAGAGGATGGCAAAGGGCAAGAGGAAGAGTTTGATGGGGAAGACTAACAGTGGTGATGTTGGTACTTTGGTGGAGAAGTTTCATGTCCCTTCCATTTTGTGCTTTTCTTTTTCTTTGTTATGTAGTTGGATGTTGTTTTCATTAAGTGGAGGTGTTACCTTAATTGAAGTTTGCAATTAGCCTTTTTTTTTATTTTAATGAATCTTTTTATTTTTACTATAAAAAATATGTTTGATCTATTTTCTTTGGAACTGATTCTCTCAACCACAAAGAGGGGAAAATTATATGGCCTGCACTGGAGAAGCAACATGAAATGAAATGATGTTAAACAACAAGGTGTTTCGATGGACTCTAGCCTACACTAGGTTGGTCATGCACCAAGAAGACAACGTAATATAGAAGCTTGGGAAGGGATGTAGCTAGAGTAAAAGCTAAACTTTGATGGATGTGGTCTTGGTAATCTGGTTCCTTGGAAATTGGAGCTGTCTTTAGAATTCAGGAGTCAGGACGGAGAAACTTTGCTCCACAGTAGTGGGATGGTGGGTGAAGGCTTAAAGACATGGATTTTACAAGGGATTTAAGTGTGGTCTGTTATCAGGGCAGACAGGATTTTTCATTGAAGGGAATGGTGAGGTTGTAATAGGCTGGTTATTGTCAAGAGAAGATGGATCTTAGACCCTCAGACATCTGATAAGGGAAGCATGGGTTTTGGCAACTTGTATGAACTGCTTGGGAAAGCGTTAATCTGAAGGGAATTGGTGTGCGGTTTACCTGGTCCTGGGAGGGATTTGTTGCTTCATGGATCATTTTGTTAGTGACAATACTCTTGAAGTGCACTGAAAGGGGCCTACTTTTTATCTTTTTGTTTCTGCATCATTGTAAAGACTCAGGAAAGAAGTGCTTTTAATGAACTTTTACTTTTCTGTTGCTGATAAAAAAGAAATGTTTCCCATTGTTTAGTGTAAATACATGGATTACTCTATTTTATTTGCTGGCTGAGGGAAGAGATCTCTTGTCCATAGTTGCACCTTCACTCTATTATAGGTGTGAGTTCCCTGGCTTCCAGCTTGAGGACTTTGTTCAGGTCAGAAGAAAGGTCATCAAGCTCATTGGATAGAGAGGGGTCTAGTGGGGATGAATTGTATGGAGTCTTGATCAGGGTGGTGGTAGTTAGGATGGTTTGTGCATATGAGTACTACTTTTGGGTCTCTTGCCTGATCTTAGCCTACCAAATTATATCTATTCCTACCTTTTTCCCTTTTAATAAAATTCACATTGATCTATTATTGAAAGAAATTGTCAATAATACTGTGTGCTGGTTGCAGAACTTGTGGTACTTCATTGATAGAACTTCATTGTAGTGTTTTAGTTGCAGAGCTTGTCCTTCATTCATGTTAAATATGGGGCAAAATGATTCACATGTACTGACACCTATATACTGTCATATGGTGCAGAGTTTGGCAAATTTTCATTTTTCTTGCTGATGTTCTTTTGCTTTCAACTCTGGTGACTTTTTAACCTTGAATTTGATTATTTGATACAGATTACCTCGTTGATGAGGGTGCAGAATGCAATTCAACGTCGGATTTGCTTTTGGAACGCAGTCGCGAGCAGAGCCTTATTGATCTTATGATACCTTCTCTTGTTCTTTTGATTGCACTTCTGCAAAAGTTGCAGGTATGTGGTGCCAATTTTCTACTCAGAAATTCCCTCAGCAGGGTTTTATGTGCTTATATTCTGTTTCTTTTGTGCATTTTATAATTTCTTCTTTAATCATTTAGAGTAGCAGTAGCAGTAGCAGTAGCTTCTGGATGTTATTTCTTAATTTAGTGATATTTGTTTATAAGTTTTGTGTAATTGTTTAATATTTCCTTCTCAATTTAGATTCTCCTTTAAAGCAACTTTTCTGTTGCATAGTAGGTACATGATTTATCCATTGCATCGTGTTGCATGTATACAACCTGGTTGAATGATTTCTGTAGATTTTGGAATTGGTCTAGTTTCAAACAAGAGGTACTGTTTCAGGATGATGGGTGGCCAACTGTAACTCTGAAAAAAGGTTGTTGATAAATTGATTAACATAGAGAGGATAGTGGAACTTAACAATAGTTTAGGCAATCAATTGCGTTACTGAAAACTTCTAGACAATTGATTTTTCTTGTTGCAACTGTAGAAATCTGTTCATATAGTTCTTTTGTTTTCAAATGGGTTAGCTATGATGTTGTATTTTGAGTGAGAATAAGAATATCTGAGGATATTTTCTATGTGTAGTGTATGTGCTCCCTCTACCAAAGGTTTTGCTCTTTTTATATTGGGGGATGTAGTGGAAGAAAGATCATACAAAAATTAAAAGGGAAGGAAAAGTACAATAATTATCTCTCCCCGGAGTGTAATTTGTATTATTGTAATTTTTGTTTATTAATGAATAGTTTCTGTTGTGGATAAAAAAGTACAATAATTATCCACAAGATTTTCATATAAATGTATATTTATTTTTTATGTTGAAGATATTTTAATTCTCCAAGATGGTGAAACTTGTGGGAAATTCAGCATGAAAATTTGAAAATACAAATGGGATTCAATGATTGGATGATTGGCTTACTATTTTGATATGATTCACTAAGTCACTATAATTCAAAAGAAAAGAAAGAAGGCACACATCTACAAAAGAGCATTCTCAATCTGATCAGAACTTATAGTAATAAAAACGACAAAAGTGGAAAGTGTTTAATGAAGGTAAGATCACTAGAAAGTGTGTAATGAAGAAGAAGAAGAAATAAAAAAAGATAAAACAGGCCCATAACAAAGGCCCACTATCTACTGACACAAGTCATAAACATAACCATTTGGCCCATTATCTCCACCAAAATTGCACACCATGATTACAAGCTGAGGGCAATAAGCATTCTAGAGTATCTTAGAGACATACTTAATCTTGAATTAAGGTGGTTTTGGTATGGAGATTAAGTTTAGGTATTGGAAGCTAATGGAAAATTTTCGTCATAACTGTTCTATGGTTCATTGGGATATGGTCTCCCCTTAGATTTTGAGGGTAGATGATATTGGTGATGCAGGTGCAAATGAGCAATTATTTGTAGGCCTGTCAATGATACCTGAAAACCCATGGCCCGATCTGATAATCTCGGATTCGGATGGATTGGATTCGGGTCGTGTAAGTAGAATCCGATTAAAAATTTGATCGAATTTTGATGCACCCACCTGATCCGATAAAAGTCCGAATCCGATATATATTAATAATATATATAGTATATTATGTTACTATTTATACATTAGTGTAATAAATGGTATCTTGTAGGGGTAAATGAGGAAATCTGTTCCTCAAACTCCCAGCCTGCCAGCCCTTACCTAATACAAGATCTTACACCTAGGGTTTTTTCATTCTTCTCTGTCTCTCAAACCCATTGTTCTCGCCTCTTTCACTCTCTACAAGTCTGCAACTCTAAATCAGTGTGAGGTGCAACAAAACCACAAAGGAGATGGCCAGATGATGGACAAGGGACAACAGTGTGACGAGATGGTGAGACAAGATCTGGTTTCGCTTCAATGGCTCCTGTCCCTTTTCTGATTTCATTCTTTGGATCTGGTTGAGGCGTTGAGCTGCGACAGTGAGACAAGATGAGAGATGCGACACTGATGACAGACTGAAGAGTGAAGGCATTTCCAGTTCAGTTCTTCCAAACGAACGACAGACCGCCCATTGAATCTTCTTATTTTCTCAACCAAACCAAAACGGAAATTTCCTTAATCCTCATTTTTTTTTCTTTTTATTTTGATTGATAATTTTTTTTACTTATTTTGTTTTAATTGGTTTCTTTGTTGATTTATTAATTTCTTGCTGCTGTAACTTTTGTTCTTGTTCTGTGCACATCAGAGTCAGATGAAATCCGAAATTTGAAAAATTTGATTATGTTTGAATTCATGCACTATACACGGATCCGATCGGATTCCGAATTGGAGTTGGATGTAGTTAATATCTTATTGAATTGAACTTGGGTTTATATGAATTCGATCAGAGTCCGGTCCGATTACAGGCCTAATTATTTGAAATCATTAGTTATTATTGGCTTCAATCTAACTCGGAAAGATAATTGCCTGAAGTGTGCAACTCAACTTGTGTTGTAACAGCCAATAGGTTGGGCGCATGGCTGGCCCTTGCCCCATGGACCTGGAATCGAGCCTTAAGTCTGCCAAAGACAAAGCACCTTTGTTTCATGGCCTGCCCTGGTCTTGTTCAGTAGGGTGAGGTCTTGCTTAGTCCACTGTTTGTGCACACACATGAAACAAGAGAAAAAGGATTAGAGTCATTAATGTAGGTTTTTTTTTTATCAGTAAAAAGAGATTCTATTAATATCAAGTTCAAGTATTACAATTAGGTAGGGGTTTTCTCCACCCGAAAGACAACTTTATCATTTATAATTTTGCCCAAAACTTTGGTGCCTAGCTGTCCCTTGTTTAGCCATGACATCTGCCATTCCATTTGCTGATCTTCTCACCCATTTAAAGTAAACTTTCACCTTGCTTTTTATGCTTTTTATTTCCTGAAACGTGTGTGTATAGATCTATGGGATTTGGGAGCTACATCTTGTCAGACACCTGTGAGTCCCCTTCCACCTCCAAGTTGTGGAATCCAAATTGTTTAGCAAATTTTAAACCATGGAGTAATCCACACAACTTTGCTGTCAATGTCAATGCATTACCACCATCTTCTAAGGGTCCTGAAAACAATGTTAACACCTTTCCTTCTGTGTCTCAGAAGACCGCTCCCAGTCCAGGCACAACCTGATTACCAATATAACTCCCCATGAAGGTTGAGTTTAACAAAATTGGTTGCTGGGGGTGTCCAGTCCATATTTACTCTTTCCTTGGCCTGAGCTGATAGTGCCACTTCCTTCAAAGTTCTCAAAATGTCATTCACTGAGAAGCCTTGGAAATCCTCCAGGGTCTTCACCCAATGTTGCACTTTGATTTTAACTGTATCAAAGATCACCATCTCTGTTCTACTCTTTTCACTAAACATCCTCCCTTTCCTTTCTTCCCATGCATAACATGGCAACTCTTACTGCTTTCCACATAATTCTTCCCCTGTTCTTCGGTTGTCTCAAGAAGTTTGGATCAGAGAGACCCACCAGATCCTGAGGAGTTCACCTGCACCCAAAGAACAGGATAAAAAGTATGGGATATGGTTTCACCATTGTTTTTGCACAAAAATCACATGTGAGGGGATATGCACTTATTTGGCCTTCTTTTTTGCAGCATGTCACGTATTAATCTTTCCAAAGAAAGTTTCACAGGGTGGAAGCCATGAATGTAGTTTTTCATCCATCCTTTTTTATAAATTTTAGAAATCCTTGTCATGGGTTAGGTGATCCTGTGTGATATTATGGATCATGTGGAGTTGTCACCCTGAACCTTTTATAACCTGCAAGTGCTTGTTGTGATGTTTGTTAGTTGTTTCATTATCTGTTTCCACCGTCAGTGAGATACCATTGAATACTGCATATAGAATTCAGGATTTATCTTTTCTATTTTCAGCACTGGAGGTGCTTTCAGAGATTCAGGAACTTTTTTTTGTCTTCTCTTGTCTATGTGGATCAGCTAACGTTAACATTGTTCAGGTCCTTGCTCTCGTTTTGGTAAAACACTTCTCGTTCATTGGATTTTGACCTTTATGATGTTAATGATGGAGACTGTTTTTCTTTCTCATAGATCAGATGTGCTTGGGAGTCATGGGTTCGTAGAAATGTTAAAACCTTGGTAGTGGCCAGGGCTTTGGTTATAGGTTGAATATCTCATTCCATTTGGTACCAGTATTGCACAATTCATTGATCAAAAAGATTTTCTCATGTTTATGTAATAAGATTTTCTCATGTTTATCAATTCATTGATCAAAAAGGATGGAGTGATGCACAAGAAGCCAGCATTTTTATTTTACAAAGATGGTGTTGATCCTTTTTAATTGTTATCTCTGGTTTCTTGCCATCTTCATTTGCATTTCCTATCGGCTGAGATACTACAGAGATAATAAGTAATGGCATTCATCCTTTTTACAATACATATTCTAAACTTTGAAGGATCTTTGATATATTAAGGGCTTCTTTCAGTGTTAAAATTTCTTTTCCTTTCTTTTTTATTTTTTGAGGGAAGGAACTCTACTGTGTAGGGGACATAGGTGTGGTCCAAGGGGGAATAGAGATTTGGAATCTGGAGTCTGGACATAAAAAAATTCTATAAGGTTGTATTTGGTAGTAGGATTATTTGAGAGACCAGGTTTACCTTACTAATGCTGGGCTCCTGCTTTGATGAGCCTGACCAGCTTGTTCATAAATGCAATTCAGATGTGTCATATTTGGTTGCAGTATGCTCTGTTATATGGTACTCACAGGTTTTCCTTGTAGAGAGCTGTTCTGTATTCAAGAATTTGGGTATATTATTCTCCTTGCCATCATCACTTCACTTGGATTTTCAGTGTTAATTACCACACTATCATTGCAGATGAGTTTGTTGTACTGTAATATTTTCCTTCCCATTATCATTTCATTTGGCTTTCAGTGTTAATTTCCACACTATCATTGGAGATAACTTTGTTCTGTAGATCATTGTTTTAAAAGCTCAAGGCGCAAAAAAAGCGCAAGGGCCAATTTGCGCCTGAGATTACAAAAAAAAGCTAAAAAATAAAAAAAGTCAAAAAATTCAAAAAAATGCCAAAAAATTAAAAAATGCAAAAAATAAAAAAAATTAAACATAATGTTAATAAAAAATATAAACTTAAATTTTATAATAAATGTTTTAAAAAACCTATTATCTAAAATTAAACTACATAAACATAACATGTAAAGCGTATTCAAATGAAAATTTAAAAATAAAAGCAAACACAGAAAGCATTTTCAAGCATGTAAATCCCACGATCTCTTTTTCTCCTTAATTGCATTGCTTCAAGTAGCTAATGCGATGTAAAACATATTGCATTCTTGATTCTATGAGTCACCTTTGTACCACGCCCCTTGAGGCAAGCCCGAACAAGTCTATGTTAGGGTCTGAAATTCTTATTTCCCATATAAAAAATAATGAATTTATAACTTTCATTGCCTTTTAAGAAGATATTTTATTGCAATGAATGAATGAACAACATTAGCAAATAGGGGGTTCTCGGAGCACTCCTGGGCTGAGGTGTAGGGCGCATGCCTAGGCGCACCAGGCGTGCACCTAGGACCTAGGCGAGGCACATACCCCAAAATGCGCCTCACTTGTTGTGCCTGGCGTGCCTTTTAAATCACTGCTGAAGATAATGTACATGTGGGATTAATATTTGCTCAAATTTAACACAGTATACCTATTTCGTAGTTCATGCCTAATTGTATTTTCACTATTATTTGGTCAGTAGCTACTGCTTGCAGAAACAACACCCATTCAGGTTTTGTCATACCTTTGTTGTTCCAATACTCTGCAGGAAGCTAAGGAGCAGCATCGAAATACAAAGCTATTGAATGCACTCTTGCGACTGCATCGAGAAGTAAGGTGATTTTGAATCTCCATTCCAATTTGCCATATTTTCAATGGATTTTATGCCTGTATTGTAACTCTGGATTATAATGAGTGCAGTCCGAAATTAGCAGCATGTGCAGCAGACTTGTGCTCTCCTTATCCTGGTTCTGCGCTTGGTATGGGAGCTGTCTGTCATCTTATTGTGTCTGCGCTTGCTTGTTGGCCAGTTTTTGGTTGGACTCCTTTCCTTTTTCATTGCCTTCTTGACAGCATCCATGCAACTTCATTACTTGCACTGGGTCCAAAAGAGGCCTGCAGTTTGTTCTGTCTTCTAGTAAGGAGTTCTTTGTTGTCTGTTTATTTTGTTGTGTGATTGAAATAATATTATGTTAATTCCGTGTTATTCTTGGGAAGAAATAGTTTTCTTTTACTTTATCTGTGAACCCCAATATGATATCTCATGAATCCTTTTCTCTTTCCCATCAACAGAGTGATCTACTTCCAGAAGAAGGTATATGGCTTTGGAAGAATGGGATGCCCCCATTGAGTGCTGTTAGAACATTGGCTATTGGTACATTATTAGGGCCTCAAAAAGAGAGACAAGTAAACTGGTACATGCAATCCAGACACCTTGAAATGCTTCTTAGTCGGTTGAAACCACTTTTTGACAAAATTGCCCAGATTATCTTTGATTTTTCCTTTAGTGTAAGTTTTTTATTTGTCATCTATTTTTCTTAATGTATTCTTCTTTTTCTGGTTGCAAAAATATCTTTTTCCCATGAAAACAATTCTTATTGAAACAGGCATTGGTTGTCATACAAGACATGCTTCGAATTTTCATAGTTCGTATTGCTTGTCAAGATGTTGATGGTTCTATTATTCTGCTCCGACCAATAATATCATGGATAGAGGCTCATGTTTCAAAGAAAATGATTCTGTCTGATTTGGATATCTTCAAGGTGATATTTGCTACTGGTGTTCTACTTCATTCATCTAGGTTACTTTGACATCCATCAATTTTCTGTGTCCAGGTGTATAGATTGCTGGATTTTCTTGCTAGTTTATTGGAGCATCCATGTGCCAAGGTTGTGCAGACATCTGGATCTATTTTAAAATGAAATTTGCAATATGGATTTTTTTTCTTATTGTCTTCCTCTTTCTTTTCAGATGTTGTTATTAAAAGAAGGTGGTATTCAGATACTAACAGCAACACTTGAGAGGTGCATTGATGCATGTTACTCAGAAGGGGAGCTTCCAGTTAAAAATGGGTTGACTTTACTTAGTTGGTGCCTTCCTGTATTTAAGGCCTGCCTTTTGATTTGTGATTCTCGGTCATCTCTGTCACCTTTTGGATCATATAAGTGAGTATATGATGAACCTTTTGATAATTACCTTCTTTAATCCAGTGTTGGCTTGATGGTTTAATTGGATCATATAAGTGAGTATATCATCTCTGCCACCAGTTTGTGCTTAAATGCTGGACGCTAGGTCCAAGAAGGACCACATGGCTGAGTCCAGTACTGAGTAATGGCCCCTTTTTGTGGACAGTTAATTTTACTGATGCGCACAACAAATATGTTTCTGGTTCTTGCAGGAGCAACATAGAGAACTTGAGAGTTGAAGATCGTTTCTTAATTTTGATCCGCATTCTTAAGTTATGTCAGGTAATTTCCTGAAGATGCAATCTTGATATTTTTGAGTTATATATATATATATATACAATTTCTATTGTTATGCAAGTCTTTAGGCAACAAAAAAGAAATACTTCTTACCTATTATAATGGTTTTTGATAAATACTTACCTATTAAAATCAATCCACCATTTTCTTTAATGTATTGTTAATGACAAATTTTATTAGAAGATACAGAAGGTACATGGCCTAATGCCCCCAGCAGATTTCTCTTGTTCTTATAAGTTTGTGATTATGTTTAAAGAAACAGAGGATCTAAGACAATAAGATGTTATGTACTGCTAGTGTTGGACATGATGTGTACCTGATAGTATGATACAACATTATGCTGCATTGACATATAACAAATCATATTATAGAACATCTGTTTATTTTAGAAGCTTACTTAAATTTGGCAAGATACAAGTATTTAGAAAAGAAAAGATATTCAACTTGAAAAATTAGATATGAAAGCATGATACAATATTAAATGAGATACCTTTATGGGATCACGGGAATAGAAAGTTGTATACCATACCTGTACAATTGCTCTCATATGCATCTGTATCTTGGTCTCCACTAGACCTGTTCATGGGCCGGGCCGGGCTGGGCTCGGGCCGGGCTTTTAGTGTTCATTAACAGAAAAATAATAGGCCCGAGCCCGAGCCCGGCCTGACCAACGGGCCTAGAAGTTGGGCCCGAGCCCGACCCTGATAAATAGCCCGAAGCCCGAGCCCGAGCCCGAAGCCCGACCTAATAAAAGAAAATCAAAATTTTCCCTATTCAAATAGACATTATCTATTTTAATTCAGATGTTTTTTTCCCCTATTTAAATGAACAATGGGCCTACAAGTGAATCAACAACCTTCT